CCCGGATTATTCATGTACCTGCTAACAGCTCCCACTGCTTGAGCAATATTTGGTCTGGTACAAACCATGGCATACATCAGACTTCCAATCGCTGAGGCGTACGACACCTTCACCATGTGTGCACGTTCTTCCTCCGTCTTTGGTGACTGTTCTTTGGAGCGTCTGAAATGAACACCTAAAGGTGTACTTACTGGTTTAGCATCTTGCATGTTGAACCTGGAGAGTACTTTGTTGATGTACTCAGCCTGTGATAATATCAAAGTCCCTAACTTTGTGTCTCTCTTGATCCTCATCCCAAGAATCTGCTTTGCAGCGCCCAGATCCTTCATAGCAAACTGCTTTGACAATTTTTGCTTCAAGTTTATAATCTCTTGCATGTCTGAGCCTGCAACGAGCATGTCATCAACGTACAACAATAAAATAATGAAGCTATTGTCGAACCTCTTGATGTAGCAACAATGATCTGCTTGGCATCTGGTAAAACCACGCTACTCATGAAACTATCGACTTCTTGTACCACTGTCTAGGAGTTGTTTTAAACCATACAAGCTCTTCTTCAACCTGCATACCAGGTTTTTCTTGTCTGCCTCTATGAAGCCTTTTGGCTGCCTCATATAGATTTCTTCCTCCAAATCACCATGAAGGAAAGCTGTCTTTACATTTAACTGCTCAAGATATAAATTCTCTGCAGCTACAATTTTCAACACCAGTCTGATTGTAGACAGTTTCACGACTGGAGAGAAAATTTCATTGTAGTCAATACATTCTTTTTGTTGAAAACCTTTGACAACCAATCTCGCTTTGTAGCGTTTGCTCCCATCGTGCTCTTCTTTGATCCTATAAATCCACTTGTTGTGAAGCGCTTTCTTGCCTGGTGGTAATTCAGCTAATTCTCACGTCTGATTTGACAAAAGCGAGTCCATCTCATCTTTCATGGAAGACTCCCACTTGACTGAATCCTCCACTTGCATTGCTTTATCATAGCACTTTGGTTCACCATTGTCAGTCAGCAACAAGTAGTGCAAAGAAGAAGAATACCGTTGGGTTGGTTTAGGAATTCTGGAGGAGCGTCTTAGTTCCGGTGTGCCTGGTTCTTCTTGAACTGCTTCAGAACTGATCTGAACATCATTTCCAGAAATCTCCTCAAACTCAGCAAATTCCTTTGTTTCAGCTTTGGTATTGGAGCTGCTTGATTCTACAGTTGACCTGTCTTTTTACATCATATTCTCATTGAAAATGACATCTCTGCTTCTAATGATCTTCCGATTTTCATAGTCCCAAAACCGGTAACCAAACTCATCACCGCCGTAACCAACAAAGGCACATTTGTTGGACTTAGCATCAAGTTTACTTATTTCAGCAGAGTCTATGTGTGCATAAGAAATACAACCAAACACTCTTAAGTGTGAAAGGTTTATTTCTTTCTTGCTCCAAACTTCCTCTGGTATTCTGCCATCCAAAGGAACTGAGGGCCCACGGTTGATCAGGTAAGCTGCAGTGTTAATAGCTTCAGCCCATAGAAATTTGGGCAATCCGGCATGTATCCTCATGCTTCTGGCACGTTCATTCAGAGTTCTGTTCATACGCTCTGTTACGTCATTCTGCTGTGGTTTCATGGGATCTGTTGTCTCCATCTTGATCCCATTGTTTGCGTAAAAATCTTTGAATCTCCTATTTCTGTACTCTCCTCCATTGTCAGACCTCAACCGCTTGACTTTCATACCATTCTCATTTTCCACCATGGCCTTCCATTTTCTGAAGGTATCAAAGACTTATTTTTTCTTCAAAAATAAACCCACACCTTCCTTGTAGAATCATCGATGAAGGTGACATATTATAATGAGCCTGCAAGAGATGGAACTGGAGATGGTCCCCATACATCAGTATGAACTAACTCCAACTTTTCAGCCTTGGGTGTCTTACCAATCTTTGTAAAGCTGACTTTCTTTTGTTTGCCAAAGATGCAATCCTCGCATAGTCCGACATCTACATTCTTTAGATCCGGCAGCTTCCCCTTTGACAAAAGTGTCTTCATCCATTTCTCGCTCATATGGCCAAGCCTTTGGTGCCATAGGTTTGATTTTCCATCAACATCTGCTACTGCAATGATATTCTCTAAATTTGAGGTTACATAGAGAGTACCAGTCTTCTTACCACGAGCAATGACGAGTGCTCCTTTGGTAATCTTCAATTCACAACCTGAAAAGGTTGTACTGTATCCTTCTCCATCAAGCTGTCCTACAGAAATCAAATTTCTTTTGAGACCAGGAATATGTCTCACTCCTGTCAGCTTCCAGGTGGTCTGGTTTGGCAGCTTTAGTCGGATGTCTCCTTTTCTGACGATCTTCAAGGTTTCATCATCAGCAAGATGAACCTTCCCAAATCACCACTGACATAGTTCTCCATGATTTCTTGGCATGGCGTGGAGTGGAAAGATGCATCTGAATCCAAAATCCATAATTCAATCGGACTGTTGACGCTTAAAATCATGGCATCACCTGTCTCTTCCGTCATGTTGACAGATTCCTGTGCGCCAGTATTTTTCTTCTTCGGTGCTCGACAATCTCTTTTGAAGTGGCCCTTCTTGCCACAATTATAACAGGTAAAATCTTTATTTTCTGTTCTTGATTTTCCCCTTCTGGATTTCGATCTGCCACGATTTGAATTTCTTTCTGAAGTTCTCCCTCTGGACTCCGTGTGCAAGGCTGAGGAGGTTGATGCTTCACCCGATTCTCTCCGTCGAATTTCTTCGCTCAGTACCAGATCCTGAACATCGTCGAATTTTAATTTGCTGTTTCCCGACGAACTGTTGACTGCTGTAACAGTAGCATTCCAACTGTCTGCCAAAGATGATAAGAGAATTAAAGCTCGAACTTCATCATCAAATTCAATTTCCACTGAACTCAACTGGGTTGTGATTGTGTTGAGTTCATTTAGGTGTTGTGCCACCGATGCCCCTTCCGTCATTCGCAAATTGAATAATCACCTCATCAAATGAACTTTGTTTGAGGCCGATGGCTTCTCATACATATTGGAGAGAGCCGTCATAAGACCCGTCGTGGTCTTTTCTTTTGCTATGTTGAAAGCAACATTACGGGATAACGTCAGTCGGATAACTCGAGGGCTTGTCTGTCGAGAAGAGCCCAGTCTTCATTCTTTATGCCCTCTGGTTGTTTTCCTGGGAGGGGTTGATATAGATTTTTCTGGTATAGAAAATCTTCAATTTGCATATTCCAAAATCCAAAGTCCGCACCATCGAACTTTTCAATTTTCACATTCCCTTCGTCTGCAGCCGTCGCTCCCACTCGAATCTGGCTTCGTTTAGAACGTTTCTGACAATTTTTGCGAACCGCCGTGTATTAGAACACCTCCGTTGACAAACTCGTATCGCCGACCGAAATTCACTATTCACGTGAATAGTAACCCGAATAGTAACCTCGTAAAAAATTGACAAAATTCACAACCCAAAAGCTCTGATACCAGTTGTTGGGAAATAAACCAAGTACAAGTAATTTCCCTATAGTTAGATTAGTGAGAATACGAAATAAAAGCGGAAAAATAATACCCGAAATTAATAATGGAGTTCAACCAATTGTGCTTACGTCTCCGGACTGCTGCAAATCTTTTACTAAGAGAGAAAATTTACAGGTGTTTACAAAACACTCACTACTTACAAGAAAGCTCTCTAGTAGGGAAAGAAAATGATTTTGGATGGTTTTGAAGCTAAATGAGCTAGGGTATTTATAGTTGAAACTTAAGGACTTAATCTTGTAAATACCCTAAAACCTAAGGATTAATTGTGATTATCCTATTATCATTTTTCAACAAACATCTACCAAACTTTGAAAAACTATTTTTCAAAGAAACATTTACCAAACTTTGAAAAACCATTTTCAAAGAAACATTTACCAAACTTTGAAAACCATTTTTTCAAATTTGGTTACCAAACTTGAAAACCATTTTAATACTTTCAACACCATCCTCGTTAAGTCCAATGCAATTGTACATAAGAGAGGATGTGGATAACGACAAAGATAAAAATACATCGAACATCTTTTTCCATGTCACATCGACCAACTTATTTAAGAACTCACGAGCTTCAGTTTAGGAAGAACCGGATTCATGCATATAACATTGGATCGTTTTTGGAACACCACTTCTTTCGTTCATCAATTCAGAAAAACCAAAACTATCAAACAAAACACAATCAAGCTACCAAGGCAAACTAAAAGCGCTAACCATCTAAGTATTTCTCTTCAGTCCAAGCACTAATCAACGAGCAACCACTATACATTCTGTAGACCAACCCTTTAATAGCGCCTTGAAATGAAAACATAAAAAAGGATCTTCCCGGGATATGAAATACCTCTGCAGCATTCTTTTGTCAAGGCTACAGACCAGCCCTTTTTGAACTCTTGACTAAAAAAACAGCTCCCCCACTCTATTTCGATCCTTCATCAAATCTAAAATAGCTGTAATCAACAAAATCTACACAACACCAAAATTTACTCAATTGTATCTAAATTAGCTCAAGAAAAGGACGAGAAACTGCATCCCCGACTCCTACACACAGGCCACAGACCTGAACAACGAAACTAAAAAACTGCACTCAACCAAAATTGAATCACCTAGGAGCCACTCAACCCCACCCACTATATACAACCAATACAATGCTCAATCATAAGACCTCTCAAACCATAATTAACTCAGAGAAGATTTCCACCACCAAAATAAATCTTATGTAGACAGTTACACAAATCCAATCAAAACTCTTTCCACCAAGCTATAAATAACGTTTGCCAACTCACACCAAGCCAATCCATCCCAGCAACGCGAAGTAAAGCAAAGCTAAACTATACCGATCTTTCTCGACAACCTGCCAATTACTAAGAAGGCTGTCCACCCCTCCCATGGCCGAAGAAAAGGTTAGATCTCCTAATTTTCCCGCAGTGAGTAACTGAGTCCTCCAAAGCTTCCATCTTTATCTCATAGAGAAGATCATCACAATAGAGTTGATCTTCAACATAAAAAATGGGTAACCAATGACATTTCATCTGCTCCAATCCACTCACAATTCACAATGATATCAAGATCTTACAGGCCTACAAACACGACAATAGGCTCATTCTACACTGAATAAATGTTCATGCAAGCTCTAGCGCAATCAATCCGTTCACAACCTTGTGTTCATTTTCGATAATCTGAATACCCAACTTTTTACCTAATTCCAAAGTTAATTCAGCCTCCTTTTTTGTCGTTCGCCATTTTCTCTTGAGATCGGAGTTTGACAGCGACCGACCAGAAAGTTTCGAGCACTCTTAAGTTTAGCCCCCTTAACTTATTCTTTAGTGCTCTATCCCTTTTGCTTCTATCATATTTCGAAAGAAATTTGTCTTGTATATTCAAAAGAGAGCCAAATTTTCTTTCTCTTATGCTTCTTCCAATTTGTTTAAGTTCAGGGAAGAAAGCAAACGAATCATTCTCCATAGAACCAACGCTATTATTACCCTCATATGGCTCAATTCCCATCCCCAGAACTCCATCGATTGGTTCAGTCTTCAGCCCCATATTTTTAATGTCATCTTGAGCTCTAAGGTGGCGTTTGGACAGAGGAATATGAGATTCTTATGGGATGTAATCTACATTCTTCAGTTTGGTTAGTCGGGAATCTCATTCCGATAATGTAAGATTACTAATAGTGGATTTTTTGGGTATATACTGGGAATGTCACTACCTCTATTTCCTTATGTATTGTGGATTACCGGTATTTGGACTAAAATACCCTTAATTTTTTTTTCAAAAATATTTTTGTCATTGAATAATAAAAATTCTACGAAAGTTAAATTATAAATTTATCCTTAAACTATTTTAGATTTACAAAAAAAAATCTATAATTAAAATTTTATATGAAGTTCAGGGGTTAAAATAAAATTTTACCCTTTCATTAAACAATTTTATATTTTCAATTTTGTAAAATAAAATTTTTTAAAGAATCTATAAATTTTCCAAACTTGTTAAAAACAAATATATAATAGGACAATTTGGTCAAATATACTTTCCAATAATCTTTATCATTTAACCAAACACGGTAATCTTACATTCTTGCTAAACCAACCAATACAAAATACAACATTCTTAGTAATTCTATTCTCTGATAATCTTACATTCTCATGGTAATCTTACATTCTGTGAACCAAATGCACCCACATATAGAGCCCTCACTACTTGCAATTATAGGTCTTCTTCTAATAGGTCCACCTTATTGGCGATTTCCTTAAGCCCGTTAGATCAACCCTAGACACTGAGTATAGGGGTGACAATAGGGAATCGAAAACTGTGAGGATTCGAATAGATGAGAATATGGAATAATCGAATCTTTACCCGATGGGGACGAGAAAGTTTTATCCCGAAAACTCAAATGGAGATAGGAATGGGGATTGTTATATCCAAATACGGGTAACTGAACCGTACATGTGAATAACTATGGAGATCCCTGATATTTTACAAAAATAACTGTGGGGATCCCTTGAAAATATTGAGATTACATTATTGTTGAGATTGAAAATTGTTAGATAATATACATGGATGTTAGATGAATATTGACGTTTGAAATTTTCATATTATAAATTGAGAACAATTTGAGACAATCTAATATATCTTACAAGTTTTAGGTATTGCATTAATTTCAAAAATATTTATTTCTTTTTTGAAGATGAGAATTAACCGAATTTAGTAAGAATCCGTAAAGGATATGTATGAAAAACAAAATTCCAAAACATATAATGAAGTTACCAAAATTGTATTCACAAGTGATGAGGACGAATGAATAATATAAAACCGTCCACGTCCGCCCGTTACACCCCTACTGACTTATTAACAAACCTAGACGTTTCAATTGCCCATCATTTTCCATGATTTCAATCTCGCCCCTAAAAAATCTACCCTCTGATCTGTATCTAGAACACCGCCAAAGATTTCATTTTCCGCCACTGATGGAAGCAGAAAAAGAAATCTTAAAAGGAAATCCGACTTTTATATTAGATGTTTGTTTTACTGTAGGTGTCCACTTGAAACTGTATTTTTGCCATGCATAAAAAATTTCAATAATTAATATGTGTGTCCACCCTTAAAAATATTTATGAGTCCGTCGCTTCCATAGTAAACCTTCTCTCCGATCGGTGTTGGAACTATCCGATCTTGCGCCAGTATGATGATCTTACCTTATATTTTGCTAGTGACACCGTTAGTCGAAATACATAAAAACTAAAACCGTTCAATCACTCTATTGCTCTGAACGCATAGAACCTAACAAATCCGAATCTCTTCCCAGTTTTGTCCATCTTCCTTGCAATGAAAGAATCCACAACATCACCCTGCCTTCCAAATAATTGTCTCAGCCCACTCCAGTGAACGCCATTGGTATATTTTGAACGAAGAGTGTCACCGGTTGTCGTCTCCGTTTCTCCATTCGCATGTTTTTGTGTTAAGCTACTTTAACATTTTAGAATTCGAAAAGGGGATTATAGTCGAGATCTCATTTTGGAGTTGCATTGGCCTAAAAGCTCCACGGAAACCATATGGAACTCTAAATTGCAAGGTGATTTTGGCTACAGGCTTGCTGGTAAAGCTCTTGGTGTGCGCTAAAACCAAGACTCGATTGCAAAAGCTAAAGGGAGCTGCTTAGTTGTTTGATTTGTAGACGTTAGATGTGGTACCATTAGGGAAAGAAGAATGATGAGCCTGCTGCTGGTATAGAAAGTTTTAGATCAGTTTGATTGATTTATAGTTCTAACAACTAGGGCTTTACCATTAAGTGAAAGACTATCGATTGCAAAGCTAAAGGGAGCTGCTTGGTTGTTTTATTGTTCATACATGTATTCATATTAACTTTTTACATATATATTATTATTATCTCTTGAGATCTTATGTTTGAGCTGCACATATTTAGGGTCGTGTAGATATTCATTGTTGAATGATTGAGAGTCTTTGAACATATATTATCTGTATTCACTTTAAGTTAATTATTTTTTTAAATTCTTAAAATAGGAATTAAATTAAATAATTATAATAAAAATATAAAATATGAGATAGATAACATAAATATAAAATGTACTAAAATTAATTATAGTAAATCACTGGCATGTAAAAGGTATTCCAAATACTTGGGGGGGGGGAAACACAAACAAATTATGAACATGTTTCTTTGAAATAACCATTATTAAAAATAAAAAAAATTAAATGAATTGAGACGTGTTTATGCTATTTTTGTCATGTGTAATTTGTATGTCTTAGTTTATTTTGATTTTGTTTATAATTTGATAAAATTATTTAATTTTAGTTTTAGATTCATGATTTATTTAAAATTTAGTTCATTTATTATAAATTAATATAATATAAATAAACGTTCATTTATTAATAAGATATTCCCTTTCTGGAGAAGTAAATAACATTATTTAAAAAGATAATCAAGAGTTTAAAACATAAATAAAATAAAAATAATTTTATATCAAAATAGAATTTTATTTATGTATAACAACTTTACTATGGCGCATAACGACTACGAGTAGGAGGATTTTGTAAATAAAGAGAAAGAATATTTACAAAAAATAAAAGAATCAAGAAAGTTATTTTCTTTCTTTTTTTTCCCTTTTATTTGATTAAGTTTTTTTAGTTTAAACCAAAGTAACCATAGACTTTAAAACAAAATCAATCATAATTATACCAACTCATATTATATATAAAAATACAATGTAACATTTAATACTTAAACTATCAAATTTAATAACAAAATGATCTAATCAATAAATTATAAATTTGAGGATTCAATTAAAATATTTTAAAATTTAAGAACCAAAATAAAATTAAAGTTATAGTTTAGAGACATCTAATAAAATTCAATTAAATATAACAGTGAATGTGATTAAAGGATAAAATATATAGTACTAATATACAGGGGCCAAGTGTATCCTATTAACATTAAATATATGGATGAGTTTGTCAAGTTCGATAAGTACCATTATGTACTATAATGATGAGTACAATTGAACATCATTAAATTAATTTATAAAAAAATTAAAATTCTAAAAGACTCGATATATAATTATAAATTAATTAAAATTTAACATAAATTATTTAAAAATTTTCATTACTTTTTTTTATAAAGAGAAATACATTCGATTGGGATTGTAGGAAAGAGACACCACAACAATGAAAGTATATGTATTTATATCTATATAATAACACTAGTTCAAGTACATGATAATTTTATATTTAGAAAGTTATATGATGATTTAAGATCCATTATCTGATAAAATAGTTCTTTTTAAATATTATTTTTGTATATTTAATGAAAAATACGTTATGTTTTTATTCATTTTCATCATTGGTCTTTTTAAAAATCATTTTCCCTTTTTGTTAAATATGTTTCTTTATTGTTATTAATTTATAATTTTATGATGTTTTCTAGATTGATTGATGAAATGTTTAATTATATTCAAAACGGAAAATCAACTAGTTAAATATTTTTTTTACAATCATAAAATTAAATAGAGTTAATTGTATTAATCGTACTTAAATTATAGGGTAAAGTATACAAGTAGTCCCTTATTATAGGGTATTATATTAAGTCATTTAATTATTAAAAACTATAAAATGGTCTCTAACTATAGAATATTGCTTTGTTAAGTCTCTTAACTATTAAAAGTTACAAAATAGACACCCGACTATTCATTATGTTCCAAACTCATCCTTTTCCGTTAAAAATTTGACGATTGTTTAAGTTGGACGTCAACATGATGAATATGATATGATAGTCATTTGAGATTAGATTTTATCATATCATAGTCAACATGTTAAGCTTAGCTCAAAATACCGGGTGACCATTTTGTAACTTTTAATAGTCGATGGACTCAACAAAGCAACACTCTATATCGGATGATCATTTTGTAACTTTTAATAGTCGAGTGACTTAATAAAACAGTATCATATAGTTGGGGGACTATTTGTATACTTTACCCTAAATTATAACTATAATTTTATATTTATCTTTTAATTTTAAATAATCTAATTTTATCTCAAACTATCTATCTATGTTAATTAAATCCTCCTATCATTAAAATTGTTACTTTAACTAATGATAGCAAATTAGATTTATTTTCCTGATGAATTTTCTAAAAGATTTTTAAATTATTAATTAATAATTGCTTGAATGCGGGCGGGGGAGGAAACTATGCCGGTAAGTGTAAAAGCCAAGGAAGGTGTAGACACGATACTGCGTCTGTTGGACAGAGGCATTGTCATCACCGGAAGTCCAGGAACAGGGAAAATATGGCTGGCCAAACAAGTGACCAAATATTTCGGCATGTATCTTTGGTTGTCTCTGAGCATGAGCGATAAGCCAGACCAAGGCATGTCTCTTCTCCAATCCATTGCTCAGTTCCATCCCTAACATCGACAACACCTGGGAAGATATCGACTATGATAACACCGACGACAATAAGGACGGGAGAAAAGGAGGACCTTGTTGACGATTGAAGCTGAGGGACAAGGTAGCCCAAAAGATTAAGGAGAAGGAGAATGAGATCGAATGGGGAAGTAAAGATGAGTCCAAACACATAAATCTTTTTGGTGTTGGATTTTGAAGGAGATGTAAAGATTGATGAGTTATTTCCTTTGTAGGAGAACTTCGAGGACGAAATTCAACATTGTATGATGGCATTAAAGCACATTGTCTAGATAAAATTAAGGTTTTACCTGCTCAACTCATCATGTTAGCAGACATTGGCTAGTGCTTCGATGCATCACTTCAACTTTTTAAAGCCGCAAAACCCGATGATGAGATACCGATCTTCGTTTCATTATGAGACGTTGATAAAAAGAATGATCATTTGCTCGATTTCTTTGGCATAACTGGAACTTGTTGGGGAATCATGCTCTCGAGATCACGATCAGAACACTTCGAGAAATCGAAGCTGGGGCCGGCATGCTCAAGGGTGAAGATAGCAAAGTGTTTGAAACAATGACACCTACTGATGACATGATGAGAACAGTGATGTGGATAAGGAAGGGAAATCAATTTCCTCAATGTTTGATTGATGAACAGTCTATGCAGGGATGACAAGACACGTTCTTCAAAGAAAATGATCTAAAGTTTAGGCCCTTTTCAATCCTAGGATGCAATCACTCCAGAACCCAAATCTCAAATGAAGGGTTTGTTTCTGCTCGTGTTAAGAGGTTGTTATCTGTTGAATTCGGTTGCTCAGATTAAGGATCTCGAGAATTTAGTGGTCCTCAAGGTATCTGGTTCGCCGTATCTGATGGAAATGGAGGAAGGCATTTTCAATAAAATGACCAAACTTCAAAGCCTTAATCTATCTGCACTGGGATTCAAGTCATTGCCTCGAGTCTCCAGCTTGAAAGAACTATGAAGGCTCATTCTTAAAGATTGTCGTTTCTTGGAGGCTCTACCAAGCTAGCAATCTCAAACACGTTGAGGTAATTGACCTTTCTAGATCATGCTCTTTGAATATGCTCCAAGAAAAAAAGCTTCAAATCATTTAAAGAAGATTTGTGTTTTTCTGGAACCAAAATCGAGAAACTAGCAATTGTTCAGACCCTTCCGAACTAACCATCCTCTTAGCTAAAGGATATGATCGTTTGGCTGGACTGCGCTTCTGAAACATTGGAAAAACTCAAGATACTTGATATTTCAGGTGCTACTAGGATAAAGGAAATATTCTTCGATTGCTTTGATGATACTGGCAATCTTAGATTCCTTGACCTATCCAAACCGATATTCGATTTTTGCCCGAAAGCCTCGTCAAACATCTCTGTTGTCTCACACTAAATGATTGTTCTAAGCTTGAGAAAATCAGAACTCATAGGGGCACATTGACATACAGGCTCTTGATCTTTCCAATTCCTCTGGTCTGCAAAAGTTCCCAGATGATTTTTTTGTAAACTTGACCAGACTTCAGTCCCTTGACCTCTCAAACTCCCAAGTTAAATTTTTTCCATCTCTTTCCAAGCTTGGCAATCTTCACAAGCTTTTGCTAAAGGGTTGCTCGTTCGAAAGACTTCCCGAGTCAAAAACTTTTGAGCCCTTTGAAGGGCTCACTAACCTTGAGGAACTTGATCTCTCGGATTGAAGAGCCAGGCTGAGCAATTTCCAAGCTTGGAAGGTCCTAATAGCTTAAGATTATCAAACTTTCACGTTATAAAGTGCTGTCAGAAATAGATTCCTTGAAGCACACGTCTGAGCTTGAAGTCCTTGATCTCTCAGAAACCCAGATTTCAACCCTGCCAAACATATCTTCCACCGAACTCCGTTTCATTATTCGAAATAAGTGCGCCCCAAAGAAGCTATAGATTTTCAAAGCCTTCCAAACCTTTTTATAGCTTGACCTACGTGGTACAAGCTCTTGAACTTGAAGGGTATCAATTTCGTAGCTTTGAGTCGTCTGTCTGAGCTTCGGACTCAGGTTATCCAAAAATGCATGTGATTGCATTGATCTTATTTAGAAAATTCGAAGCAACTTGAAGTTCTTGATCTTTCTGGAGAGGCTGTGGAGTCTTTGCCATCCTCTCTTAGCAGCCTTGCCAATTTAAAGCAGCTTTGCTAAAAGGTTGTTCGAGCTTAAAGGAGCTACCATCGCTAAAGTCATTGAGTCAGCTTGAAGCGCTTGATTTGTCAGGGACTCAAGTGAAAAATCTTGGAGATAAAATTTCAGTGTTAAGAATATAAAGAGTCTTCATCTACTGGAGGACGTGGCTGAAGAATTTAAAGGTGGGAAGACGTTGACGCCCTACCGATGGAGCTAAAGTTATATCACTGTTGTATCTCTGAGCCTTCTGAGATTCCTCAAGGGGATAGGAAGCCAAGAATAGCTGTGCACACACAGAACTCCTCAAAGTTTGAAGGGAAATTCCACGTTTTTATAGAGTATCAGGAATTCGATTTCATCAATTCGAGTTGAAAGCAAAGACGAAACAATTATAGTGACAGTCGTAAACATATCTTTGGTGATTTCTACACCAAGATCAGAAAATCCTGGTGAAGCAGGAGTTTGTGAATCTTTGGAAATCCTTGGATTTGATGGTTTTCCCACTGGTGTTGAGGTTTTTCTTGAGCATGCCAAGTATGTCTTCTTGCTTGAAAATGGTTTTATGAACAACTTGTCTGATTTAAAGCCTGATAGCTTGAAGAACATCAGTGTAGTTGGTTAGAGCGATGCAACAACATGGTAACCGTTGTTGTGGAGGCATCAAGGGAAGTGGGGAACCCTTGAGATCCTATGGATTTCATACCTTCCCAAGATTTAGAGTTTGTACGATAAAAAGGTGCAGTCCTTGAGTTTTGGGAGCATAAAGTGTTTGTACATCGACTGCTGCCCGAAGCTTGAAATCCCTGAAAGTCTTGAAACTCTCGAAATTATATTTTGTGATAGTCTAAAGAATTGTTTTGGAGATAAAGGCCCGTACGACAAGGAAATCCAGACCCCGGATTCCACAAATCAAAAATGCAAAGATGACTCCAAAAGACAAAGAAGAGTTGAACACGTCGTCATCAACAGGCAAGAAAATGCCAGATATGATCAAGAGTTCAGCCCCAAAACAAATACAGAGATGAGTACTGAAGATAAAGTCAAGGGGAGACGGTGGATTCAATTTTAGACGATGAAGGTAAAGGACCAGATGCAAGTACAATAAATAAGGGCAGGAGGACAAGGAAGCGGAGACGCATGCTGCAAGTTTAGAAGACAACAAAGATGAAGAACCAGAGGGTGCAAGTTCAGTGAACAAGGGAAAGAAGAAGAATGAAATAGAGACGCATGATCCAAGTTTAGTAGACAAGGGAAATTGAGTGGAGACGCATGCCAAAGGACCAGAGGATGCAAGTTCAGTAGACAAGGGAAATAACGAGGAAGTAGAGATGGATGTTGTCAGTTTAGCAAACAAAGAATCGCAAGCCAAGCAAAGCACAAGGATCAATCTCAAGCATTTGCATATATCATATTATCCAATGCTTGAAACTGTTTTCTCATCACATCATATGCCTGAAAAGCTGGAAATTCTCCGAATCAAGCATTGTGTTAAAATGAAGAGTGTTTTTCCCGAGTCAATGATCGATCGTGATTTACCAAACTTACAAACATTGCAACTGTCAGACCTGCCATCTTGGACTAGATTCAGAGCGGATTTAAAGTGAACGAATTTGTTACAACGATCATAGAATCACCCCCACCAAAAGAAGCCGGTCCAACTGCTCAGAATTGAGATTTAACGAAAGACAAAAGAAAATACCTCGACAACAAGTTAGCCATGCATAATTTCATGTTTGACATACTCATAGCTCCCTACATCTTTTTACTTCATACGATAATATCGTCTTAGTTTATCTATTTTGTTCCGAGACATGACAGAAATACAAAGTGTGTAAGGTAACATATAGAGACAATTAAAAGAGGTCGGCGTAGAAGGTTTGATCATCTTAAAGATGGACACAAGACAATAAATGGTTTTTCTAAGATGAGCTTCGTGTTCAAACAGTAGTTGCAATGTCATGTTTTTATGCTTAGTTTTATGTATTAGAAGAGTGCCCTATGTTTTCAAGACTTGTATGATTTCCTAAATCTACTAGTATTATTTAGTTTAAGAGTTACTTGTTTCAAGTCCATTTCTTTTCTCAACCCCATGTCATAAATTTGTAATATAATAGACTTGGAAACCTTCTCCCTTATGTACTCTTACTCTTTTACCTTCATATAGAATTTATTGAGTTTGATGTAGCATTTACCTCCCGTTAACTTTCTTTTCTTCTTATTCTTCTACTCCTATTAACATTGGACGTTCACAAAATTTTATCTAACTCGGGTCCTCAAGTATTCAAATTATAATTGTTTAAAAGTTAATATAAAAATGCTAAAAATAAAATTTATATTATTATTTGTTTAAAAAAATTAAAATACTAAGAATAATTAAAAATAAAATATATCATAAATTATAAATAATAAATTATTCCATAAGTTATTAAATATAAATATTATGTATAAGGGTAAATTATACATTTAGTACTTAAGTTGTCAATTTTGGTCCGTTTTAGTACCTAAACTTTTAATTTTTTTTAAAACCATACAATGTTTAATTTTTGTTTCACTTTAGTACCCCGTTCAAAATTTAACATTAAATTTTAAAAAATTTAAAAGTTTAGGTACTAAAATAGATTAAAACTAATAGATTAGATATTAAATATGTTAAATTTTCAACATCTATTATTAAAATGAAATAAAAAATAAATATTAAATATGATTTTAAAAAATTAAAATTTTAGATGACTCTAGAATATAAAAGTGAGGTGATGAGGTGATAGAGATAGACATTGACGAAAAGAAAGAAGAAAGAAAGAAAGAAAGAAAGTTAGTTTTGGATGCGAGAAGGCAGAAAGGGATGACGCGAGGAAAGCAGAAGATCGATGCGCAGAAGCGAAACGCTGAGAAGAATCAAAGACGAAGGTTCTCAGCTGGAGGCCAGAGCCGTTGCCCTAAAAGTTATCTGCCCTATCTGCAAGGTTTTCTTTTGATTTACTAATTACTCTGCCATTTTCTTAACCGATATTGATCTCGTTTAGCAAGATCTTGGCGGTGTTTTGGAATCTAATTGATCATTTCTGGATGCCATGGCTTGCATTATATATTAAAATTAATCATTAATTGATTTTTTTACTTGATTGAACTTATAGGTATGCCGGTGATTTTCCTATTTATAATTGTGACTATTGTTGGTATTGATAGAATCCAATCTTATCAGCATTCCTACTGCTATCACTTTGACTTGATACACTACGGCTGTCGATTTAGAAGATAGTATTAATAAAACCTTACATCCCTGTTATTTGACTTCCCTGATTTCTCCCTTTTTTTGGAATTTTCCATATATGCAAATGTTGCACGTATATCTCAGTTAACACTAACTATATTTCTTACCAAGTTCGTAGACCATAACCCCTAATGGATAAGAAGATACCTGCAAGTATTATTGTCCCACTTTCAGATTTATGTTTCAAGGTGCTTTGCTACTAATTTTATGCTAGGTAAATGATGTTCTGATGGGTGTCTGTTTTGGCTTTAGCTGTTATCTGGAATTATAAGGGTTTAGAACTTAGTATGGCAGAAGATACAGGATGGGCGATTTCATGGTGATCAATTAGCAACATAATGGAACCGGAAGGAATGATGGTTTCTGGTTTGTTGAAGTGGCATCAGTTTCTAGAAGCACACATAAGGAAAAGAATAGTTTACAAAACTACCATTTTAGAAAATTTAATTCTGCATTTTGAATACTTCATATTAGAATTTGATAGAAATCACCAAACGTTTCATCAAAACGCACAATGAGATAATGAAGGCTAGAGTATCTTGTTCATTGAGTGACATGTTGACTTTTGTACTTGCATTCACCAGTTCTGCCTGTGGATGGATTGATTGTATTTAGAAAGAACAAGCTCCTTGACATAAATAGGAGCCTTTATTCATTACCACTATTTGGTTTCATTACTTTATTTTTTTCAAATGTAAAAGGATATAAAGAAAACAAATCATGAAATTTGAGGGTTTACCTTCTTTTATATGGCTTGAGCTGCAAAGAGCTTGGAGTTTTTCCTATGCTTTTTTTATTATTTTTTTTCATCAAATAGATATACCACGAATAGGACTGATAAGATGGGCAATCTGCCAGAAGAAAAGGAGCAAGGAAATTTTGTATTTTCCATCTGTCATATTTGTAGCCTTACTTATGCTGCCTTTCCGTGAATCTATATTGCTTCTTTTATGAGATCCGGCAGCGTTTGTGGAAGACAGTATATTCTACTTGAATTTTGTTAATCAATGCCATATTGATTGTTGCGTAAGTTTGTTAATCAATTCCGACTGCCTGGCTTTTGCATGGAGTCTGCATTTACTGTCTCATTGAGTTGCATTGCATGTCCTCTAATATTACATGATCACAAACACCATATACTTTGAACATCATTTTGCCAAAAAAAAGGGACTTGAACATGATAAGTTGGCCTTTTCCCCCTCTTTATTCAAGTTACTCTCTATGTGCCTGCTCTTCGAATTAAAGGTTTGGCTAGTGTTCTTAGGGAGGCAAAGTCTCGTGGCATTTCGAGTCCTTCACATATTTCTCTCTGGCCTCCTTCCATGTAATTGCTAAAATGAATCTCCCTTCATGTTGTAGGTGCAATTAGCAAATGAAAAACAACTCGGTGATCATTATGGCTCCAACATCCGAAGAAAAACCCTCCGACTGTGTCGAGTTGATTGATTTCCCATGCAAAAGAAAAAGGAAAAGAATAAATTAGCTTTTCATGTGTGATTCTAGATGTTGAATGTTAAACCAATGGAAACGACTCTATTTGCCTTTGCCTCACTTTTTGTCATCTCATGTGTTGAATTATATGAACGATAATAAAGCTGTTACCTTTCTGCCTGGGTATCACGATTTTATGAATTCGAGTAAATAGTATAAAAATTAATTGGCAAAATGATAATGTTTGTCTCTGTAATAGACTCAATTTATCATTTTCGTCACTATTATATTTTTGTATCAGTTTAGCCCTTATTTTATAAAAATTTATCATTGCGGACAAAATTTATTGTCCCTGCTTAGAGTTTATACTAGTCTTTATTGGCTTCTAGAAAGAAGGAAGCGTCGGTTGACACGTACGGATGATCGTGGTCGCACGTGAGAAAATATCAACTCAGCTCGCCACCATCGAATCTACTTTTATTCATCAACTAAATCTCTCTCTATGTCCATTTTATTTTCATAACATAAACCAAAATTAACAAGAACTAAAATTAATTGTAATCGAGCTTGAGCTTGCCAATACCATCAGACCTGGCCCATCACTTGGAGAATGCTAAAGAGTCCGTTCACATTGGTCGTGCAAACATGGACAGTGAAGATAATAATGGGAGCTTGGTAATTATGGCAAGAGATAACAAATTAATAGAGATTGTGGATGATTCTTACCATATCTAATGTAAACGTTTATCGAATGAAAGATTCCTACTAATTGATGTAATTAGGTAGGATGGGATTGAGTTTCCTTAGTTAAGAGAATATCTTGTAGGTACAATTCATTGATTTGGGGGATTTAGGAGATTGTATTAGACCTAGGTCGTTGATGTAAATCGATCCTAGTCATTGATTGTGAGGGAGCTCAATTATAAATAGAGAGTCTCTTCTCCTTATTTGTATCATTCATAATCATTATTTCACTCTCACTTTGAGAGAAGAGTAAATAAAAGCTCTGAGGCATTTGCTATAAGTTTTATTGTCTTCTTTCAGTTGTTCTGAGTTGTTCTTTATTCTCTTTGTGTTTGTTGCCTCTCTAAGTGGCTAAGTGTAGCCCCGTGATGTTTGCGCTTCTGCACGAGTGTTCTACTTTGGTGGCCTTAGCGGTTACATTGGGTTAAAGCTTCTGCATCCTTTTGACTTTACGCCAGCCTTTGCCGAGATAGTGTGCTCTTAAGACGTGGTGTAAGGCTTACTTAGGCGTAAAATCGACCAAGTACTATCATTGAGCGTCTAAGGCAACACATTTCGAAGGTTTAAGGGTGTGACAATTGCATGTTTCCGAGTTGGAGTCTCTACCGGTGTGACAATGTCATTATGATCTAAATAAAAAATAAATTTCTTCATTTATTCGTCAATGCGTGTCGATTGAGTCCTTTATTTGTAAAACAAAAAAAAAATCTCCTACGTACAAAGTACCTACATCAATTACAATTACAATTCCGTCATCTACATTTTATTTATTACTATTTAGGGTCCTTGCTTTTACATCATTCTCATTTTCATTCTATTATATTCCATTGTTGTTTTGTAGAATGAGAGGTATTTTGCATCCTTATTGTCCTCTGAATTTGCTTAAATATAGAAGGGATATGACAGCATTTTAGTCCTTCAACTTGATAATTCCTTCTAACTTGGTCTCTAGTTTTTTCTTCATCTATATTAGTCCCTGAATTTAACAATTTCTCGACTGGATCCTTAGATTCGGGGGAAAATGTCAAATTCTAGGAAAATGTAGGTTGAAAAAAATGCAAGAATCAAATTGGAAAAAGTCAACAAGTTTAGGACTAATATAGAAAAATATCAAGTGCCAAATCCGTAAAAATTATGAAATTCAAAGATTAAACGTTATTATCACGCCAAATTTTCTCATTAACTTTTGGGTAAACTACACATTTAGTACCAAACTATCAATTTTGATCCATTTTAATACCTAAACTTTCATTTTTTTAAAAATCATAATTAACATTTAATTTTTAATTCATTTTAATACCCTACGGTTAAATACTTACGCGTTTAATACCTAAACTATCAATTTTGATCCATTTTAATATCTAAATTTTCAATTTTAAAAAATAACATTAAATTTGAACAGTGATACTAAAATGAAACAAAAGTTAAACTTTAAGTATGCTTTTGAAAAGATTAAAATTTTAGATACTAAAACTGATAATTTATTTATTAAATATATAGTTTACCCTTAATTTTTTTATCATCAGTCAGTTATCTGAAAAATCCAATCTATACAGAAAGATAAAAACACAATCGATTACAAATCATTTGAAAAACTGTATAAAAAGATTACATGAGACGGAGGACCAAAACTTTACAACACATGGCCTGCCCTAATTGACGGTGATGGGATAGAAGATGGACATTGATGGTGTTTCTTTTGAAAACCAACCATCTACCATGTGTTAAGAAAACAACATTAAGAGTGAAGTTATTACTTATGCAATAGGACTGACCTGAGGTGTAGCGTGGGACTGGAATGTAAAATATATCTAGTTAGAAATTTTACATAAAGATCAACCCAAATCCAACCCAAAGTTGCAAATCCGTTTCTTTTAAGAAACCGAGTAAACGCGGAGCGGAGCCATTGATTACATTAATATCATCAAATCACTGCTGCCAGCCGTACTGTTGATTGCGGTTTCCACCCATCATGTTAGAGCCACGTACAGCACCGGAACTTCCATACGGCCCACCTAGTGAGTAATTGGGAGCTCCAACTCCATAACCACTGCCTCCGCCACCCCTCGGACCAGCACTGGGCATACCACTTGAGCCGTATGGTGGCCCCCGCCCTTGTGGTGGATACGGCCCACTGCTATAACCTCCCCCGCCACCCTGACCACCACGATTTGGGTGGTTGTATCCCCCACTTGCTCCATTTGCGAGGTACCTCTCCGGCCCACCTGCAGGTCCACGAGGCTTCCCGTAATGGTGGCTAGGCCCTGCAGCAACCGGTGGCTGAGAACCATGCAAGGGTGGGTTAGGTCCAGGCCTCATTTGTGCATGTGCATGTCCAGACTGAATTGGCGGAAGACGGGCATGAGGTTGTGGATGTTGTACTTTCTGTCGCTTAGCATTTTCTTCGTGTTGTCGCTGTTGATGACGCTTTTTCTTGGTTTGGAACTCATGTGATGATTCATATTTAGGTAAGCTGAGCCAAATGGAAACATAGATAATTGATAAAAAAAACAGAAATAATTTAAGTAACCAAAAGGGAGTAACCAAGCAAACCTCTTTGGATCGCATGGTAGTGGGTCTGTCCAGAAATACTCAGCATCAAGTGCATCCTTGGCACATATTCTCTGCATTTTTCAAACAGATTAACATGAGAACTGGTTGGTAACTTTGAAACAGCTAGATAAGTACTTCGACTTTTCTTAATTGTAATTCCAAGGTTAAATAAATTTCTTAATGATAGTCGAATTCCTATTTTCATACTGCTAAAATAAGTCAATAATACATAGAGAAAACTGATTAATATAAAATTGGCTACACATTTTAAATGGAATACGAAGAGAACAATTCCAGAACAAATGAACCCCGACATAAGTCAAGACTCAACAGTTTTTGATTAAAAAACAAGCAGTGAAACAAATCTGTGATTCTTGTAAAGCATAAATGAATCAGGCTTACAAATATATGAAATGGTACCTGAGATGGATCAAGAGTCAACATCTTCTCCAACAATTCCAAAGCATGACGGTCAAAACTATAGCAAATAGACAGATAAGTCAGTGATGCAATAGACACTAAACCATAGTCACATATTTGAAGATATCATGTAAGCAGAAAATTTTCTACAAATAAGTTTCAGGCACATGACACCCTTGGAGGGTAGGAGATCCACTGGTTCCCAGAACCAGCCTATTTATGACCCTAAGAAAGTGCTATATGACGATGACAGTGAACTTACTGCCTAAAAACTTCCCGGAGACGTCTCTTCATTGGTCTTGTTGGCTTGAAGTTGTTATACCAAGGAATCTTGGAAACCCCAGGCCAGTTGACTTCATCTGGTGCTCCACACAGCTCAAATATCTTATTTAATTGTTCTGGCTGCAATAATTACAAGTATAACATTTCATACCGCAGTCTAGCAAGAAATTACAGATTGAAGGTCCATTAAATAGGGATACCATCCAATATGCAAATGAACAAGTTTTCATGTATTCACACATGATTTGGTTCAGCAAAATGTGCGTAACTCCAGGAGTATGCTTTCACCCAAAGCTTAAGATAAACATGTAACGATATAACTCATAACATATCACAACCTTCAATTGTTTCTTATGTTACTATAAAATTCAGTCATTTAATTCAACGTAAAGAAACTAACTCATCTTTTCCGGGAAATATAGGCTTCCCATGCAGGAGTTCAGCAAAAATGCAACCAACAGACCACATATCAACAGCTGGACCATACTTGGTTGCCCCAAGAAGCAGCTCTGGAGGTCTGAGAAATTGACCAAAAATGGGAATTAAACACTGCACCAGTTAATATTCTCATTCTTTCTTTAAAGTTTAAATACATTCATCGGTTGTTAACATACACTTCAACCCAGGGAGTAAAACACATACCTGTACCATAAAGTAATAACACGATTCGTAAGGTTTGCATTGTGATCATTTGAGAATGAGCGAGCAAGACCAAAATCTGCAAGCTTGAGGTTACCCTCATTGTCTATAAGAAGATTTGAACCTGCAGGAACAAACAGAGCCTTACTTTGGAAGTCATGGCCAAGGGCAACAGCATTACATTAAATATGGGAATATCAGAAATGCATGTAAGAACCTTTGATATCACGGTGAAGCACTTGATTTACATGACAATAGTGAAGCCCAGTGAGAAGTTGCCTCATGTAACACTGGAGGAAAAGGTAGCATAATTAGAAGACCAAAATTCTGATGATTGAATGCAGAGTGCTCTTTTATCCCCTTTTCTGACTATAAAATGGGTTACCTTAATTTGGGGAACTGAAAATCTCATTCCAGGTCGATCAGCAAGGCCAGTCAAATCATGGTCCATGTATTCAAAAACCATATAAATTCCACCTTTATACTTATTACCATCTATAATACAGAAAAGGAAAGAGTTAACAACTAGCAAAGATTAAATGCAAGGTGTTAAACTATTGTTAGGAATGGAACAACACTTGCCTGGTCTTCCCTGTTCGTCCTTCTCTGGACCTAAAATTAAAAATCATATAAAACCATAAGGTATAAAGCAAAGGTGAAAGAAGGAAGTTTAAAACCATGATTTAAATCAATAAAATGAATAAATAAATATGTGCATTAAAGCAGCAGAGGCAATATGCAATTGAAGCTTCGCGAGCAAGTGAAATTACCAGGAGAAGTCACAATCTCTTTGAGCTTAATTGCATTCTCATGGTGGAGCTTCTTCAGAATTTTGATTTCACGAATAGCGGTTATGGGAAACTGCACAAGATTTTTGAGAAAGAACAATTTTAAGTTAGGGTTTCTTTTTTATTAATATGAGAACAATTTATGAGAGATCATACCCTTCTCTCTCATTGTCCATGCGAATTTTCTTCAAAGCAACAATTTCCCCGGTCTTTATTTCCCTGGCCATGTAAACTTGGCTGCAAAAACATACAGACTACTTATTGAATTGAACTGACAATGAATGGTTACTAAGTATAGAGAAATCGCAACACCCAATAAAAAGAATGAATAGATAACCAAAAAACCCTAAATTGAAAAGAAATAGAAAGTAAAGAAGAAGAACAGACCCGTAGGTACCCTCGCCAATCTGCTCGAGCTTTTCGAAACAATCGACGCTTCTTGACCCCCAACAGGGCGACTCGTTCAAATTAAGCTGTCCTGTCCTGCTATGGCCATCTGATTTTTCAATTGAGAATCAATTGGCACCCACTTAAACAAACTCACAATCCCCCAAACTGAAAAGATGAGTATTTGCTACACCACCAGCGCCGGGATAGAAATATTCACACTTCCAAAATCCTAACTACGTAATTAATTTATGCCCTTGCAGAGTGATTCTATATCCATTTTATTTGAAATTTGATTTTTTTTTCTTTTTATATTCGCTCTTATGATAGATATTATAATTATTTTCTTCTCCAACAAACTTAACTCTACGTAATGATTAATGCCTAAATCATGTTTCTATATTTTGTGTTCTTTTAAATAATACTCTTTTAAACAAATTACTCTTTAAAAAATATTTATTTTAACTTTTTCAAAAACGCTTAAAATATATAAAATAAAATAATTTAAACACCACCTAAAACCAATTGATTTAGTTGGATAAGATACTAGATCTCTTAAACAAGGGCAGCGGTTCGAATCTTGACCATTACTAATGGAATAAACTAAGTTAGGAGTATCACTCTTGCCTTTGCAATACACGATTCGGATTAGTTGATCAATAGATTGGATACCGGTAGATATACCAAATAAAATAATTTAAACAATTTTATAATGAATAAATATTTTTAAAAATAAACTAATTTTGAAAATCTTCATATCTTACAAAAAAAATAGTTTTTAGAAATTATATCTTCAAAACATGCTCATCCTAAAATTATTAATTTTTTATTAATAAAATTATTTTTTAGAAATTATATCTTCAAAACATACTCATCCTAAAATTATTAACTTGGATTACCTGAATTGTGCATATTTACTCCAATTACAGATTAAGTAAAAATTAAACAACTATTTTAACCCTATTTGTTGATGTTAATTTTAATATATGTTATAAAATTCCAAAACTAACCCGTCTTCTCAACATTTTACATTAAAATTTTAAGGACTATATACCACTATTTACTACATGACTCTCATTAGGAGTTGAAAATATAATATATATATATATATATATATAATTAAAATAAATAAATTATACCAATAATTACTAATTTTAATTTCGGTAATCATTTTCATACAAGACGTGCAAAATAAATGTTTCTATCAAGTTAAGAGAGGGAACTACATGGGAGGTGGGAGGAGCAATTGCCTCAAACTTTGATGGTTTAATTGATTTTAGGTTGTATTAAATATGCGATTTTGATGGTATAAAATTTATTATTATTCTTTAAGGTTCTGAGTTCGAGCATTAAGAATATTAGAAGTGTGAGTATTTATGTGTCTTCTACTTATCCCATATTAATAAAAAATAATAATTGATTTTAGGTCACTAATGTTTTTGAAATCATTACAATTAAGTCATTTTCCCTCCCAAATTTATTTTTTAATTATATTTATGAACTTTATTTTAAAATAAAATTTTGACTTATAATTTTTTTTGTTTAATTACTCTTTAAGATCCTTTAATTTTTATGATTTGTTCAATTTTAAATATCTTATTTATTTTAAAGTTAAACTTGTCTCATTACTGTTCAATTCATATTCCGTTCATGAACTTGTCCCTTCACAATTCAATCTAACCCGTTAGTACATGTATCATAATTCAATTGTACGATCTGTTATTCATCATTATTAGATGGATCAGTTTTTATTTAGATCTTAAACAAGGTGCTTGCAGAACAGTAGTCATGTGATTGGCCTTTTCTCTTTGGAAACATTTTTATTGCTTCGTTGAATTGAATCCATATGAAGAATAAAAACGAATTGGTTAAGTGATAAATAACTTGATATCGTTTAAGTAAGTCTCGAGTTTGAGTCATTGTATATACAGAAAATTCTCGTTGGGAAACTCACCCACCAAAATCAAGTGTGCGACCCAAATCGATACGGATTAATTAAGACGAAACCTTGAAAACCAGAATCACAAGCAAAAAAAAAAATCCATATGAACCATGGGATGCTAGCAAAACCTTTCCTTGCACTATCATATCATTATGCAAAGGGGTTTTCTAAAAATCGAATTCAATAGTTTGGTTTCTAATTTAATCGTTTACATCAGATGCTCAATTACGCTACGTGATGCCGAGTCTTTATCTTCCTCTACTTCTACCAATCCACGGTTCCGTTCAAAAGCATCATAAGCATACTTGGTTCTCACAAACAACAGCATGCTAGAAATTAAGCCAACAAGGGACAAGCAACCCCACAACACGAACGTTAAGAAATAGCATTCCCTCCCCATGCACACCACTGAATCCGATGAGAACATTAGTTTCAGCCTTACCCCGGCATTTTCGTCGTAGTTTATCGCGGCGAGCACCCCGTAAACCGGCAACCCTATCGGGATATTGGTTATCAAAATGTTGTGATTCACGCCTAAACTGTTTGGTCCAAACAGCCAAAGAAGTATATGAACTGGTACGCCTGCTAGCAGTACTTACGCTCGAACATAGTCAGGCGCAACTGAAAGCAAACGGCCAAAGAAGGAGAACGATGAATACAGAGTGAGAAGTAAGGTAGTAGTGGAAGATTGTCCCAGTGATTGTGCAATTTGGCCTAGATTGCTGCTGTAAACAAGCCCAATTGTTCCCCCACAGAAATATGCCAAGTAGTAAGCCAAAAATCCAGTCTCCCAACAAGTACATGAGCAGGGTGCTCTTCACCTAGCATTACAAGTTGATATTTTTCCATGATTTTCTTACAACATCTTGTGTTGTCTTCTTCGCTGCACAGTTTCTGGCTGTTCATTTTATATTCAAGTGCTTCATCATCATCATACAAAGATCCAATCAGTGTGCCAATAAGATTATTTAAACTACTCTCACGGCTTAGCAGCCGTTTATGAAGCTCAAGATCATCATCGTCCACAAGAATGAAGTCCGATCCGCTTAGGTGGAAGCTAGAGTGAACAGTACGATGAAACCAACGTCGAGCATAGACAACACCAGGTATGCATAATGGAAAAATCAGAAGAAAAATAGCTCCCCCAAGGAGGAGACGAGCTGTTGTACTTGTATCCGATGTGTTGGACCCAAAAAGGAGGAGATAAACACCAGTTAAGGCGGTGACCACGTTCAATAGTAGGAACATGATGGAGTCGCTGCAGACCGCCTCGGGGGAAAGAGGATCCACCGAGGGTTGGCGAAGGATAGGGATGAGTGCTGCAATCGAAACGATAAGGGCAACAAGGGAATTCAGAAGAAGATATAGAGAACTGGATGATGCATTAAATGCACCACCAGCAAGGGCGTACAAGGCTGCACTTACACCATTGTAGCTTACTGTGAGGGATAACGCAAATGCTCGGTTAGCTGGGAAGTTCTTTATGCAAAGAACAAAGCAAACTGTGTTGAACCAGCATATTGTAGAAATCAGAGTAATTCTCTGTAATTTCTTATTCTTTTCAATATAACAGATTACATATTTATATACAAAATATCTCTCTAAAGTAGGAAACTCTAAGAAAGGAAAAATAATAATCCTAGGATATGATCCCTTAAAATAAAGGATTGTAGAAATCTATTTACAAAATCATATCTCTATAGGAAAGGTAACAAATCATATCTCTATAGGAATGGTAACAAATCATCTCTATAATTCCTACACTCCCCCTCAAGCTGGAGAATATACATTGTATAATCTCAGCTTGAATAGGAATTTATTGAAAACAAGCTTTGGCAAAGCTTTAGTAAGAATGTCTGCAACTTGTTCTTCTGAAGGAATGTATGAAAGTGTGGTTGTCTTTTTGTTAACTTGATCAGCAATAAAATGTCTATCAATCTCAACATGCTTTGTCCGATCATGTTGAACTGGGTTCTTGGCAATTTGAATAGCAGATTGATTATCACACAAAACTTCAAAGTGATCCTCTTGATTAGTGACAAGTTCTTTCAGTAGTTTAAGTAGCCAAATTCCTTCGCATATTTCCAATGCTAGTGCTCTAAATTCAGCTTCAGCACTACTTCTTGAAACGAAAGATTGTTTCTTACTTCTCCAAGTTGTAAGGTTTCCCCAAACAAAGGTGCAGTAGCCACTAGTGGATCTCCTTTCAGTAAGGTCTCCGGCCTAACTAGAATCTGTAAAGATCTTAACAGTTCTGTCTTGTGTCTTCTTAAACATTAAACCGTGTCCTGGAGTTTTCTTTAAGTACTTGAGAATTCTATTTGTTGTTGTCATATACTCTTCAGTATGATTAGTCATGTGTTGACTTATCACATTTACAGGAAATGCTATATTTGGCCTTGTCAAGGATAAATAAATTAGTCTCCCAACTAATCTTTGAAATTTCTCTTTGTCTACCAAGTACCCATATTCTTTGTTAAATTTCAAGCTTGCCTCCATTGGTGTATCAATCGGCTTACAACCAAGAAAACCAGTTTCTTTGAGTAAATCAAGTACATATTTTCTTTGGTTGATCACAAGTCCTTTTCACCTTGCTACCTCCATTCCTAGGAAATACCTTAGCTTTCCCAAGTCCTTGGTTTCGAATTCCTTATTTAACAACTTCTTCAAATTGCAAATCTCTTCTTCATCATCTCCGGTAAGAATTATGTCGTCCACGTACACAATAAGAATAGCTTTCTTATTTGTAGAAGTTACCTTGTTGAAAAGAGTGTGATCGGCGAGGGATTGCTTGTAGCCGTTTCGTAGGATGACTTTAGTGAACCTCTCGAACCAAGCTCTGGGTGATTGTTTTAACCCATATAGAGACTTGTTAAGCTTGCACACTTGTTACTTCCTTCAACAGACTTTAAGACAGGTGGCAACTTCATATAGACTTCTTCTTCTAGCTTGCCATTAAGAAAAGCGTTTTTTACATCAAGTTGGTTTAATTTCCAATCGCAATTTACAGCCAAACTTAGGAGTACTCAAACAGTATTCAGCTTCGCCACATGTGCCAAAGTTTCTATGAAACCTATCTCATATGTTTGTGTAAAGCCTCTGGCCACTAGTCTCACTTTGTATCGTTGGATGCTACCATTTGAGTTATACTTTACAGTAAAGATCCATTTACACCAACAGCCTTTTTTCCTTGAGGAAGGTCCGTAACAGTCCAAGTAGCATTTTTCTCCAGTGCACAAATTTCCTCTTCAATAGCCCTTCTCCATTTTGAATCTTTTAGAGCTTCAGTTATGCTTGTGGGAACCT